CGTTTTGGATTATCAACAGCAAGGCTGGAAATGATACTAACCAAAGCAGTCCATGTTCGGATTGAACCTATAAATGACTTGATTAGCGGGCTATTTTTGTATCCAATGACTCTTAACGAAGTAAAAGAATCCTCGGATCGTGTATGACATGGGAATGACACTAACATATCATGAATTGTCGGTAGACGATGGAGGTATTCACAATCCTGACCTTTCACACAAACACCTCGCGCAAAATGTATGCTAGGGAAAAAGAAAAAAAGTATTAGCAAATGTCCACTGCGATACGCAAGATAACCGGAAAGCCATAATGGATGGATTCTCGTACCAGAAGAATGAGCCCGGAATACGATCAGCGCGAGTGTATCCCGAGTCGCGCGCAATATTGCAGCGACTAGGCGCGGGTTGGCTGAGGCCATATTTGTCGTCGTTGTCGCCGCTTTTGTTGTACCAAATATTATAGTCGAGTCCGGGCTGCTGTGCGGGCTCAGCTTTGACGGTTGACGCGTCGACTTGTATTCTCGCTGGGCGTTTCTTCCTGCGAATAATCTTGGTCTTTTTGACTGTCTGGAGCTGCTGATCTCCTTGCGTAGTGTCATCTGCGGCGCCGGTTGTCGCCACAATCTGCTCGTCGGCATTGTGGTCAAGGGTTTCGGAATTGGTGATAGAGACAGGAGCCAGTGGCTCAGCGACCGATGTATCTGCCATGGTCGTGTTTGTGTTGGAGAGGTTGAGTTGGAAGGTTAAGCTTGAGCTTCAAAAAAAAGGTTGACGTCCGCCGTTCCAACTGAAGTGCTTACATAATGCTTGGCAAGTGCCGCGGGCACATCGGTGGGATTTGGTATTTCTCTCTCTGAGGCACAGCGAAGCAGAGAAAAGGATTTAGTGATTTCGCAGGCGACAAGCCTCAGCAACCGACACGATGGTGAACATTACGGAAAAGATTAAGGAGTATGTTACTTGTTAATTGTTGAATATAGCAATTTGCTGATCTTTTACAGGATCGAGGATGAGATGCGTCGAACGCAAAGTAAGTGTTCTTATCTTCAAAAACCATATATCACCCCGCTAATGACCCACAGAGAACAAGGCGACAGGTAAGATGCTCTTTTGATCGAAGGAAGATGTGATCTAATTTCCAATTTCTAAATCAGAATACCATTTGGGTCTATTGAAAGGGTATAGTCGTAAATCCTCTTCAATTTCGAACATAAACTAACAATATTTCCAGAAAACTTGCCCGGCTAAGAGCCCAGCTCTTGGAGCCAGTGGGAGGTGCTGGCTCTGGCGGTGGTGCGGGATTTGATGTCAGCAAGAGCGGCGATGCACGAGTGGCCCTTGTTGGCTTTCCCTCTGTCGGAAAGTCTACATTTCTGTCTAAAATCACCAAGACTAAGAGTGAGGCTGCAGCCTACTCTTTCACTACCCTGACAGCCATTCCCGGAGTGCTGGAGTATGGCGGTGCTGAGATTCAGATCTTGGATTTACCGGGTATTATCGAAGGTGCCTCCGAGGGCAAAGGCCGTGGTCGCCAGGTCATTTCGGCCGCAAAGGTGAGCGGGCTAGCTTTTCTAATGGGAAAGAGTACAGATACACTGACGAAATTTTTGCTTCTAGACAAGTGATTTGATCTTGATGGTTCTGGACGCCACAAAGCGTGCCGAACAGCGAGCCTTGCTCGAGGCCGAGCTGGATGCTGTGGGCATTCGGCTGAACAAGGAGCCGCCGTATGTCATACCTTATCCGAAGTCGTGTTTGAAATCAAGTACTGATACAATCCTAGTAATATCTACTTGAAAATCAAGAAGGCCGGTGGCATGAAGATCTCCTTTGCGACGCCCCCAAAGAGTTTGGATGAAAAGATGGTTTACAACGTGCTCCGGGATTACAAAATTCTTAACTGCGAGGTACTCGTACGAGATGAGAATGGTATGTGGTGCTTTGATGCAACAGCCAGGCCAAATCACTGATTGCAACCCCGTTATAGCTACGATCGACGACTTTATCGATGTGATTATGAAGGACCACCGCAAGTACATCCGCTGGTAAGATTGGCACTAATGATAACTGATATCCAACTGGCAAATGCTAACCTTTCTCCTTTTCTGCTAGTCTTTACGTCTACAACAAGGTCGACAGCATCGGCCTCGAATTCCTTGATGCCCTTGCCCGTGAGCCTTACACAGCTGTCATGAGTTGTGAACTTGACCTCGGCGTGCAAGACGTTGTTGAACGCATCTGGAAGGAACTGAGACTAATGCGGCTTTACACAAAACGGTATGTTATATCCATGACTTTTAGTTTCATTGATGTGTCTGACGAGTATCGTATCTGTAGAAAGGGAGAGGATCCTAAGTTCGATGAGGCGCTCATCGTACGCAAGGACTCCACCATTGAGGATGTTTGTGACCAGATTCATCGCACAATCAAGGACACATTCAAGTATGCGATGGTGTGGGGAGCGAGCGCGAGACATGTTCCGCAGCGGGTAGGATTGGCACATATGGTGGCTGATGAGGATGTGGTATCCATAGTGGCCAAGTAGAAATTAGGGATCGAGAGCGATGATGAAAATGACACGACTACAAAGAGCTTGGGTATGAAAGTATGTTTTCAATGCTGTTGATTTCATATCTATCCATGAACCTATGAACAAAATACACAAAATAATATTCACCCAAAAATCCAATTTATCCTCCTAATAACCCGAACTCCTACTGCAAATACGTTGGCATACTTAGGCAGCACCGGCAGCGGCAGCAGCGGCGGCAGCAGCCACCACGTTCTGCTGGCCAATGGTGGGTTGGACACCCACACGCTCCTTGGCGAGCAGGTCGACCAGCAGAGGGCTGGGACGGCTGTCACGCTGGGGGTAGAGGCCAGCCTGGCTGTTCTTGTACTTCAGCACAGAGTCCAAGTAGATATCGAACAGGTAGGATGAGTCAAGAGGACCGCCCTTGGCCTCGGGGTGGAACTGTGTGCTGAAGATGGGACGAGACTTGTGGATCATGCCTTCGTTGCTCTGGTCGTTCAGGTTGACAAAGTACGGCTTCCAGTCCGAGGGCAGAGTCGAAGCATCAACGGCATAACCGTGGTTCTGGCTGGTGATGTGGCAGCGACCGGTGCTAAGGTCAAGAGCGGGAATGTTGTGAGCGCGGTTTCCGTACTTCAGCTTGATGGTGCTGGCACCGGTGGCAAGAGCCAGAAGCTGGTGGCCCAAGCAGATACCGAAAATGGGGACCTGGGAGGTCTCCATTAGACGCTTGAGGTGGTAGACGGTATCCTGGCAGTGAGTTGGGTCACCGGGGCCGTTGGAGATGAAGACACCATCAAAGTGGTGGGCGACCTTGTGGATGGGGTAGTCGAAGGGGAGGACAGTGACACTGGAGCCACGGCCGACCAAGCTGCGGAGGATGTTCTCCTTAACACCGCAATCGATGACAGCAACGTGGGAGTGAGGATCAGCAGCAGCAACGTGGAAAGGCTGCTTGGTGCTGACCTGGCGCACCAAGTGGATTTGCTCAGGGTCAGTGAAAGCCTCGTCCTCGTTGGCATCGTACTCTTCGCCGACGGTGATACGAGCCAGAGAAGAGCCTTGCTCACGCAGGTAGGTAACAATAGCACGAGTATCAACACCAGAGATGGCGGGGACACCTTCACGGGCACACCACTCGCCCAGACTCTGGACAGCAGTCCAGTGGCTGTATTGCTCAGCGACATCGGCAACAACAACACCAGCTGCCTGGAGGTTGGGGGACTCGAAGTACTTCAAGAGTCCATTGGGATCCTTCTCGGCGGAAGGAACACCGTAGTTGCCGATCAGAGGTTGGGTGAAAACCAGAATCTGACCGCGGTATGAGGGATCGGTCAGGGACTCGGGGTATCCAACCAGGGAGGTAGTGAAGACGGCCTCGCCGGAGATGTTGGAGCGAGCACCGAAAGATTTGCCAGAGAACATTGGACCATCACGGATAGTGAAGGTAGCAGGCTCCATAGCGGCACGCTGACGAACAGTGGCCATGAATCGAGCTTGAGCAGGGGGCTTCATGGAGGCGAAGGCAGAGGCCCGGGCAGGCATTGCCTTGAAGAGGTTGGAGATCATTTTTATTTTATAGGTAGTAATTGTAAATCAGTAGAAAGATTTGTGGTGTTCAGTTGATGTTGGCTTTCCAAAGGTGGTCCGAGATATAGTCCTGGGAGGTGAAAATCGAGGGTGCCAAACACATAAGCGCGACTGAGCAGGTGGCAGTCAGGGTATGGTAAAGAGAAATGGGGGGGTTCGCTATTTAGCGCAACATGGAGATATTTTTTGTTGAGAATTGGGAGTACAGAAACAGGGAAAAGAACGGAAAAGAAGGGAAACAAGAGGTTTTTCACCCCCGACTCCGTGGGCACGTGCTCTCACCGACTTTGCCGGTGTCGGCCAATCGGAGCGCGTCAAAATTCTGTTATCGGCTTAGGAGATCTGACTCATCCAATCCTGGCACGCCGGGTTCGGCCTGGATAATGATATCTCCAGGGTTATCAGGCACAAAGAATTGGTCACCCTTTTCAATAGGATCATCACATTTATATAAGTTTTAAGAATTGAAAGATAGGGAATACCAATCATTGAGACAGTTTCATAATGACTTGGATTCTGTCGACTATACACCGTACACCGTACACCAACACTACAGATTTTTCCCCACCTAGCACATTGCAGTAGCCCTGCACCTTGCCTGCGATTGACCACTAGGAGGTGCTCAATTATCGGTCTTCTGTGTGGGAAAGTCGCCGTTCAATTACAGAATATCGGTAGGTTCAGTTATGTCGTACACGGGGTTCCTTTAGGCTCGGTGTAACACGTAGTGCTCATGAAAAGCAACGTTGGCGGCCATGGGCAACACCACGGCACATTATTGAGATGAAGGTAGCACCAGCTATAAGAACCACCTTGAATACAAGGCAAAATGATCAAGACAGGTAGCCTCTAGTGTTTTCAATCCAAAAATTAAACAATGATTTTGTCTCAATATCTATCCTATGCCCTATTGGCATTCCTCTTACCCTCGGCAACTTTTAGTCGCTCCATCCGCTCAACCTTTGGGGACAGCACCCAGGGCCCACTTCTGAGGTCAGGATGTGATGATGGCACTGGAATTGTTGATCCAGATGGCAAATGCAATGGCACTGGGGTTGTAGACGACCCAATACCCCATGACCGAGAAGGGTTCAAGTTTGAGAACCCATCCACAGATTGCAAATATGCGTCTCAACCGCACATTTGGGACTCATTCAAACATCTTGAGAAAGACATGAGCAAGCTATTCACGCTAATTCACAAAAATGTCAGCTTCACTGTTGTCGGGCATCACCCAATCGCCGGCCGCTACCACGACCTAATGCACTTCTACGTCAACGCTCTGCGTCGAGTCAGCATGCTCTTTTTTGACCATGCAGATCTGTTTGAGATCCACCCCCAGGAAATCTACGGCGGATGTAACGCTGAATGGTCAGTGGAGGAGATTCAGTTCAAAGGCTTGATGAATTCTGGTGAGTGAAGAGATATATATAAATATTTATCTTCATGGATTGCTGTTTTACTGACTAACTACAGGCGACATGTTCGATATCATCAATGTCTGGTTCACACGCTGGGATAATGGCCAGATGGTCGAGATCCGCACGTATATCGATGCACCGATGATCATGGATGCGCTACACAAGAACGAAATATGGTGGAATGGCACAACCCTCCGGGACAATCTTCAGTATATGCCGGGGCCAGCGGGAATGCCAGATTTAAAGGAAATTGAGAGAATGATGGGATATCCAGATGGAAGCAAATACAAAGATTAAGCCAAAATATGAATGGCGAAGAGAGGAAAAAACCAAGTATACCTCGTCCGTTGGTGTAGTTTTGTGTAGTTCAAATTGAAAGAGGGAGATGTCTAATTTGCTTGGCAGCCAATCTACCCAACCAACTCCCCGCAATGTTCCCCGTAATTTTCCAAATATGTCCGAGTCAACGCCTCGCAAGCGCTCGCGTTTAGCCTGCACTTTGTGTCAGTCGCGAAAGCGCAAATGTTCCGGTGGGCAACCTTGTAGCACCTGCGCCCAAACTGGAGCGGAATGTCAATACAATGCGCGCAAGAAACGCGCCAGATCCCATAGTCTGTACCGAGCGGGCCTGTCAGTCAGTGAACGACCTACAGATGGCTGGTCCACTGCAGTTCCAAATACTATCAGTGCCGTAGCCAACCCTACGGTACAGGCTTCTCCCCGTCGTACAAGCAGTTCCGAGGGCGTTACCAATTCCCTACAGGCCAATTCTGGGGCCGCGTTTGTTCGCAAACTTGGGCTCAAAATTGATCCGGCACATGCACCGCGATTACAGTTGTTTGCCTGGAACATCGGCGAGAGACCGAAATCGCCAACACTATCGTCGGCGCTTCCCTCAGTGCCCATCACGGTGCCGCCGCCGCCGCCCACTATCACCAAAATCATATCCCAGGAAGAGATGCGGCGGTTAGCAGCGATTTACTTCGAGAAAGTCGATCCATGTTATACATTTCTGGACCGTAAGACGATCTTTTATCGAATCGCAAAGCGCTGGGAACCTTCGTCATCTCCTATTGATTTTGCGGAACAGCCCAATGATGCTGTACTATGTGGTGTGGCTGCCTTCGGGTATCTATTTTCGCGGCGTGAGATCATAGGAATTGAACTTAGACTTATTGAGACCGCGCGGATTCTACTGGATAAGAGCATTCTCGCAGCGGAAACACCTTCGGTCGACATCGTGACAGGGTGGGTGTTGCGTGCTGCGTATCTACGCATGACAGCCTCTCCACATGCTGCATGGATGGCCAGTTGTACACTGATGCATCTCATCGAAGCTACAGGATTGCACATTGAAACATCAGATCCCGAAGCAGCAGACCTGCTCCAAGCATCACCACCCGAGACACATGGTAGCCAAGATGGCGACATGGAACACCAGGGCACCAGCGACCCTGAAACCCGGCGAAGACTCTTTGGCATGGCTCGCCACCTTAACACATGGATTTCCTTCGACCTCGGCCGCTCCCGCGTTGTCCTTCATGGCGCCACAGCTCTCTCCCCCACAAGCACACCCCCATCCCGCAACCCACCACAGCAAGCACCACCCCGAGTCCCACGCGCAGACATCTTCCACCTCCTCCCACTCTCCGAAAAGCTCGACCCAACTGGGCCATCACCACAAGACCTCCCAGAACTCGAAACAGCCCTCACCTCTGTGCTGGATATAATCTACTCCGAACCCTCGCTAATCTTAGTCCAATGCAACCTAATGCTTTGCATTTATCGCCGTCTCCGCGCTCTAAATCCACACGGCCCACTATCCTCTAATCTCCTTGACCGCGTTCTTGCACTGGCAGGCCGCGGGCTCCGTGCCGCTCGAGGAATGGTCGCCTCAAGCTGCCCCTGGCACCAAGTTGCCAACGTTCCCTTTCAAGTCGTCTGCTCACTTCTAGCGATTGACAATCGGGCTGCGTTGGCGCTGCTCGCTGATGCGATGAGGACTCTACGCGAAGTTCTCGCTGCCTATGATACAACTTCTATGCGTGTGGCCTACTCTACGGCATACCTACTTATTGCGTTGCATCAGCGGCGAAAGGAGGATGATACGCGTGCTCTTGCTGAGGTGTTGCGGGTCAATGCTGCTGCCGCGGCTCCAGCGGACAACCAGAAAGACAAGCAGATTGCACAGATACCGTTGGCCGACCGGAGCCAAAGGCAGGAGCAAGCTGCGCCAGACGCGCTGGTATCAGATGCGGAATTCTCATGGCTGGGTGATCTGATGATTGATATGCCTAGTCTGCAGAACTTTGACCTGGACCAATTTTTAATGACGGATGTTCCATGGCCTTTACCTGAGATGGGGATTTGAGGTAGTTTGATCGGAGTTTTCTAGGCTCTGATGCACTTATTGCCCAGATTGCACCACAATTCCCATTTGCTCCTGCCATCGGGGAGTACCAAGAACCCTTCCTTCCTGATTCCGACGGGCTAACCACTATAACCCCCCCCCCCCCCCCCCCCCCNGGCTTTCCCTTCATATTCATTTTCCTCTTCTTTAATTATCTCCACGGAACACTGTGGCTGTGGAATGGGATAAATAGGAGAATAGAGAGAAGTAGACAGACGTAGGTATCCACTCCACCAACGGCCAACGGGTGGAATTGTAGATCATTTTCCAAACTCCCAACTCAAAATGAAAAATGGAAATTGTATAGAGATCAAGAAGATCAAAATGAGGCTTTGGATAGCATCTTCAGACCTCTTCTGATATGTTCAAGTCAAATCGGTCGAGTTGCAGTTAATGTCGAATCTTCTCGAAAGTTCGATTGTCCTAAGTCGCACACGTCAAGACTTGATGCCTGACGTCACTTGGGAGACACCTTGATCACTGGCATTCAAGTACATGTACATTCACGTTCTTTGCTGCAGGCCTTTTGTGCTTTATTTCTTCTCCAATCTCATGACCTTCAAACCGTGCTTTTCCATATTCCTTTAATTCTCAATTCCCTCAATTCCCTCTAATACGCATGTTCTGCATTTCTGCATCGAACCTTCTACATCATTCGCGAAGTACACCGCACCATCTCTCAGTTCCCATGCAGGATTCTTTTTCCTGTTAGAAATCACCGTTGATTCATAAGTGTACACCTCCGCCTTGAGGCCACGCCCTTTGAAATACCTTTTGCATTTTCTCATAAATCAAATCTTACCCCGCACTATGGTTGCCGAGAGCAAGCTCTACGACGCTCTGAGCGTCAAGCCCGATGCCACGCAAGATGAGATTAAGAAAGCATACCGCAAGGCAGCATTGAAGCACCACCCAGACAAGAACAAAGACAATCCTCAGGCTGCTGATAGATTCAAAGGTACATTACCCCGCACAATTTCGATTTTCCAGATATGACTAACAATTTCTTAAACAGATGTATCGCAAGCCTACGAAGTCCTATCCGATCCCGAGAAGCGTAAGGTCTACGACCAGTTCGGCCTCGAATACCTGATGCGTGGCGGCCCCCCACCGCCCCCGCCAGGGGGAGGCGGAGGCGGCCCAGGTGGCTTTGACGGTGGCATGCCCGGAGGATTCAACTTCGGCGGCATGCCTAGCGGTGGAGGAGGCCGGAAATTCCACTTCTCCACAGGTCCTGGCGGTGCCGGTGGGTTCAGTTTCAGCGATGCCAATGACACTTTCCGCACATTTGCCAAGGACGGCGGCGGTGGCATGGGTGGCATGGGCGGCATGGATGAAGAAGATATTATCTCGATGCTCGCAGGAGGACTGGGCGGCGGCGGTGGGGGCGCTGGCTTCCGTAGCAGCCGTCCGGGATACTCGAAACCGAAACGCGCACCTACACCTGAGCCAACTATCATCGAGAAAGACCTACCGCTCACTTTGGAGGAAATCTACAATGGTACCTCTAAAAAGGTCAAGACGAAGAGCAAGGCCTTTGATAGTATGGGCAAGCTCACCACCAAGGAAGTGACTTTGGAAGCCAACATCAAGCCTGGGCTGCGTGCTGGTTCAAAGATCAAGTACAGAAACATTGGAGACCAGGAAGAAGGGGGACGACAGGATGTTCACTTGATTGTAAAAGAGGTATGAGATCGCTCCTGACTGACAAATACACTTGACGAACCATTGCTAACAACCATTTACAGATCGACCATCCTAGTTTCAAACGTTCTGGTGACAACCTTATCACAGCGGTCGATCTCAGCCTGAAGGAAGCACTGACTGGCTGGGACCGCATTGTACGCACCATCGACGGGAAGTCAATTCGTGTGTCCAAACCCGGTCCAACCCAACCCGGCCACGAAGAGCGTTATCCTGGTCTAGGCATGGTGAACTCCAAGAACCCCAGCAACCGCGGCGACCTGATAATCCGAGCCAATGTCAGCTTCCCCACTAGCTTGACTAGCTCCCAAAAAGACATTCTCCGGGATGTGCTGCCTTGAAAAAGGATTTGATTTAATTGCATATACCTGGCGTTTGGGGTGAACGGGGAGTATTTAATGACAATGACAATGACACGAACAAACATCTGTATAAGGTTATAATTTCTTTTGTTCGACAGGCTAGACTTCATGTATGAATTGTATGAATAGAAGGTTGCCCACTCGGACAGTTTAGAAGGCTTCCAAGGTTGACTTGACCAAATAACGTAATATACGCATGTGTTGTAGTCTAACCCAATTGAGCGAATGCGGAGAAACCAGTGACACCTTGGAGAAACCAACATTGGTATTCGTCACTTTTGTTTACTTTCGTTTCACTCGATATCCCTTGATCTGTTCACATAAACCATGAAACGAAGAATCACCTTCATCCAGCGCGTCGATGCCGGCTTCGACCCGCAGCAAGCTGAGTTAACCGCGTCATCCCTCTCCGTCCGCGGCCTGGACGCCGCACGGGAGGATCGCATTACGGTCGGACTAGACGAGCTCCCACAGGAGGTGAGAAGGGGTTATCGATCGCAGAACCTATTAAGAACTCGGCATCGCTAACCTGGCTATTTTCTTGTGTTAGTTGCGTACTGTCCTCGAGCAATCTCACGAGCTCCACCTCCGCTGGGCCTCCGAGAGGTCTTTTGATGCTGTCGTGCCATTCAGCAGCCGGATTTCGCCTGGTCTGCACGTGCATTATACTCCGCTCGAGTCGGAATCGTCTTCGTGAGCTTATTTCTACATCTTGGGCTTGGGGGAAATGCGATTGACTGATTTGGTTATCGATAGGGAGGCGCTGTGCACGCTGCTCCGCACGATAGTCGCGCCCAACAAAGACGCTCAATACAAGGGTTGTTCGAAGCAGGAGGTACCTCACACTTGTTTCTTTTTCTTTCGGGGAAATTCCCTGGCCATGTTTTGCATGTGTTCGATCTGACCAGGAATCTGCTACACAGGAATCGTTCATTACACCCCCGCTTCTCTCGACACAATTCGCTTCCTCGACCTCCCTACAATATCACACTCACCTCCCTTCCATCCAGCCTCTAGTCAAATATATTCAGAATACTATCTGTGACCAGAGTCCTACAGATGGCCCCGAGTGCGACACCGGAGCCAATGCTCTCCTCTCTGCAGACTCGGTCGATATCGACTATGACAGCAGTTCGCACACCTTAACCGTATCCGGGCTTTGGACTAGGCCACCAACAGGCGGGTGGACGGATGAAATTAAGAAGCCAGCATCCGCCGCCGATCAAGTCGAGTTCGGTCTCTTGGGCGCCGACGCAGGGCTTGAGCCAGAGGAGATCAAGATGGGCGGGCTGTTAGCGGTTGTCGGACAGGACAAGAAGCTAAGTATGTGCTCTCGGAATTTCTGATATCGCTTGCCTTTTGTCTAAATCTATCCCAAATGGCTCGATTAACCTTTATATAGAACCAACCATGTTCTCATTCCCCTCCCGCCACCAACCTCTCACTGAACCATCGAGCTACACCGTCTCATTCGCTCCTCCAACTGGTCTCCATCCAAAAATGTCCATATCCATGCCCCGATCATCCCTCAAACGACCGCCAGCACCCAGTGACGCAACCTGTGCTCTACACACATACCTCACACTCCCCTCCACCATCTTTGGAGATCAATACCAGCTCGCAACAACAGATCCGCTCTTCCTTGAGTCACACAATCTCGTCGCCCTGCGTGCCTTGGCAGGTGAAATGGATCTTGAAGCCCCAGACTGGGTTGTTCAGCGCTGGGGCTCCAATTGGCTCCTCGAACTAGCAACCCCCCCAGAGATCGAAGACGCGGTCAGCACACCAGACCCCTCGAATTGGACTGCCACTATTCCTCTACACCTGCGCTACCTGCCGCCATCCGAAACAGGATACCGCACTGCCCACGTCCCTTGGCCTGTTGTCTTCTGGGCCTGTACTACTGAGGACGATACGAAGATGGGTATCAACCCCTTCGACCGCACAAACCTTGGCTGGGACGGCTTGTTCGGTCCGCGAACCCTATTTTACCAGCTTCAGCCTGCAGGTGATCGTCTTGTTGAGGAGATCGATGTGCCGGTTCTACGACTTGAGGGCAATGGCTACTTCCAGGGTAAACACATCGAGCTTGGCACTTGTGTAGTTATCTCTCTTGGGTTTATGTGGGTGCTTTGGCGACTCGCTCTTGTTTCTTGGTCGTCTGGCATTGGAAGTAAACGGGCCGAGCCTGTGCACAACAAGAAAGAATGATTGGTTTATATGATACTGGATGGTTTATTTACTACCGTTGACCTTTGCCAACTTTTTTCCTCTTGATTTCAGAGTGTTCGTCTTACGAGTTTCTTGATGAGAAGTCCTAAAGCATGGACCTTTTTAGTATTATAATTGATGACCTAGTACTGGCACGAGGAAGAATGAAGTTAAAATACAGAACAATCCGGTGTACAGAACATTAAGAAACTTCTGACTCTCGGATATTGCATGAATGTGGATCTAGCAAGTCGAATCATTAGTGCGATTACTTCTCAGATGGACATTGATATGAAAAAGCGAAGTCTGCTCAAGGGCTGGGTTAGAGTAGGTCTATCTCAGCAAGGCGCATAAGGATCAAGACTTTACAGCCAACGACTATCAGCCTTTTCACTCATTTCCAGATATCTTGAGCTCCTCGAGGCGAGGAAGAATGAATATGATAGCATGGGGAACATCGAGAGTAAAAGGCTCCTTGACTTCGATGATATCTAGGACTTCGAGTGATCCCATCCAAAGCCTCAGCGGAATGATATATGACCCTCATGAAAGGGCCCGGCAAACAAAGGTCAAGACGACAAGTTGATGGCAAACAAAACATTCTGTGCAATTTGGTATGCTCTGTTGTAGTTATCTCAATTGTGGGCGATCCAGCAGCTCGCTATAGACGCATAGGTCATCATC